CCTGGGGGGGCGGAGGCATCCGCGCCTCTGGCGGGCGCGGTGCGTGATGCGCCTTCGTGGGACAGGGACGGCGGCGCTGCTGCCCCCTCCCCGCCTGGTAGAAACCTCGCTTTCGTGAGGGTGCTGGGGTGCTGTCAGGGACCAGGCACTTCCGAAGCTGGCAGGGCTGTTAGGCAGTTTGCCTAGTTAGTTTAACTTGAGCAACTATCTAACGCTTTGTCTTTTTTAATGACGTCACATAAAAATACGTCTCTTCAGTGAAACTACTGGAAATTGTAGTTGTGATAATTTTCTGTCCTATAAAGTCAATACATTATTTTCCTTTCCCCCCCACCCCCAGCATCGTTCTTATCATCTTTTCCTTTTCCCAGTATTACGCACGATGGCTGAGCCTTTGTCTGAATCTGAATCCGTAGTCTTGACTTTTTGTGCTGGCGATAAATCTTGTTGTGAACTGGTGAGTAGATTTGGAACGTGATGAAGGATTTCCGGAATGATCCAGTGCGGTTTATACTTAAGTTTGATCTGTAGACTGATTACTAGTCTTGATGGCCTTCAACTGATGCAAAGAAAAGCAAATATGCTATTGTAAACTAATCCCTTGCAATAGATAAATAAAACTAGATAATGATATACATATACACGTCCTATTAATACAGTTTTACTAATCTGTTGCCTGGCTGTCTGGCCTGTGCTTGGGGTAGTATACCTGAGGGTTTCATGTATATTCAGTTTCATCATCACAGAATATTCAGAAATACACAGAAGTTTGTGTAAGTTCAAGAGTGCAAATTGATTGTGTAGTCTCCATATGTTCTTTGCTCTTGTCACCTTTTATACTTTTTTTAGTTTTTGTGAGTGCAGTAACTCCTGTGTTCACTTTAGTTGTTGATTTTATTGCATAAAATGTAGTATTCTTTTGTTTTAGTATTTCCAAAGATACTTTCAGCAGCTTTTGTTCCCCCCTTTTGTGTTGTGCTTAAGGAATCTTAAAACAATGTGATAGTTGCATCTTCTTGCTACTTGGAGTTACAGGTCTTTTTTTTTGGCAGTGGTGGTATTGCCAAATGCAGGCTCACTGATCTATGATTCCTCTTCCCATGCAGAAATATATAGCATAAGTTTAAGTGACCTTTGCTTTCAAGAATATAATGTGTATTAACCTTTAACAAGTGCCTGATCTACGTGACTAGACTTGAACTAGTGCAAAGTAACTCTCCCTTGAAAAGCGTATAATGTGCAAGTAGGCCCTCAGCATCAGCTCCTTTGCTTTATAGATTCTTCTTTTTTTTTTTCCTTCCATTTCATCATGCTTGCTGATAAAGACATCCTCATAGACAGTCTTGGATATTGGTCTCCCATATCTTTGATGTGAAAGTAAAAGTATCTTTAATAATTACCCTAAATATTGCCTTCATCCCTTTCACAGATGTAAGGAGTTTGAATTGGTTTAATATTTAGGGACATTTAAGCAGTTGTTTCTTGTACTTGATAAATATTTGTGGAATATGAAATGTTAATAATTAATATGCTTATCTTTAGAGTCATGGAGTACTTATACAGCAGTCTTCACATAAACCTAGAACAGGTATATGTAAATTCACTCTTTTCCTTGCTTTCTTCCTTACTCTGTTACTTGGTCTCTTCTGAGTGGAGGCATTGCTAAATTGCTCTGTCACCCTTAACAGTGAGGGTGACAGCGCACTGGAACAGGCTGCCCAGAGAGGCTGTGGAGTCTCCTTCTCTGGAGATCTTCAAAACCTGCTTGGATGTCACCCGGTGCCACGTGCTCTAGGTGACCCTGCATGTGCAGGGCGGGTTGGACTAGATGACCTCTAGAGGTCCCTTCCAACCTGAAGCATTCTGTGATTCTGTGAAATTTTGGATTGGAACAATTCTTATCTTCTAGTTTCAATATAAAATACAGAAGAATAACATGTTTGTGAGAACAGTGTGAATACTCAGTTACACTTTCATATAGTCGGTTAATGTTATGAGAACATAGATTTTAAATTTTGTTGATTGCATGTGCTGTAATCATAGCTATATTGTAGTGATATAGATCTGAGGAAATGTCCAAGATGATTCTTGTAGGTGTAGAGTGCTGTAGTTAGATAATCTTTTCTCTGTACAGATTATATATTTATAGATAATCTTTTCTTTCTCTCTCTCTCTCTCTTTCTCTTTATATATATTCATTTGTTTTTAATAGTTGCAGAAAATAGATGGCTACAGATTATGCCAAGCTCTTCAAAATTATTCAATATACAAAGTGAGAACCTATAGTAAATAACATGTGGGAAACTGATGAATGCAGTCACCTTTGTAGAATCAGATTTTGTATATACTCAGACATTCTGAAACTACGGCTTCTCCTCTGAGAGCAGTTGATACCATCTCAGTAGTTGAATGAGGATCTTTACCCATAAAAGCCAGAGTCTCTAAAAGAAAAACAAAACAAAATTTCCACAAGTCGCTGTTTATATTTAGAATTTTCAGGTTATCTTGTTCTAGTTAGTTAGATAATACACAAAGATAAACTGTGGAGAGAAAAAAAAGGATGTTTTTGAAGGTTTAATTAGACTTTGATTATTGTAATGCCTGAATTGGATGGTCTACTACTGTTTTTTTTTTCTTTTAATTAAAGATGTTGACCCCTGTGAAGCATGGTGCAGTCAGCCAATTGACATATTAAGAGAATATTGCAACATTATTAAAATACGCATCTTTTGGCCGCTTCTCTTCAAAAGTGAGAGTAATTCTTTGGTATCTGACTGGAGGTAAGCAATTGTTTTATTTGCATTTCTTCATTACCTGTGAAAGATTGCTGTACGCTTCCAGTAAGATAAACTGTCTTAGTGTTTTTATCAGTGAGTTAATTAAGTTAAGGTCAGAAGTTTCTGAATAGATATTCTTAGATATTAGCAGCTAAGACCTTGTAACATAATGTTGTTTTTTCTAAATGATAACTTGTTTGTTTGTTTTAAGCAGTTCACAGGTTCTAGACCAGAATTGGAGGAGACTCTATGATTTAGAGTTTTTGGAAGACCTTGTTGATTTAATTAAAAAAGTTGCTGTAAGTATCATATTTTAACTTTGTATGTCTTCTCAGGTATAATAAATAATTTAATTCTTTACCTTATGCAGTTTGTGGTTATATCTTAGATTAGACGTTTTCCTTTGCTGAAGTAAATGTATGACTTCTGATAGCCAATTGAGTTATACTTTTCTAGAAAGTGTGGTTTCACGGCCTTTATTATAGTTGTGATAACTTTTATTAAATATGTGTATAGCGCACAATGTGGGGACCATTTTAGATTGTTATATAAAAAGCTGTGATGATAGCGTTGTATCAGTGAGGCAAATAGTGCTTTTCCCTGATTAGTAAGTTAAATATGTTTTTTTTCCTCAGTTATTTTTTACTCATTGAGTAAACAATATTTAAAATGTGCTATTGTTGTTGACATAAAGTAGCAGTGTAACAGTGCAGAGGAGAGAGGGTTATACCGATGTTCTTAGTGGTCAGAGGGTTTTAATTAAAAAAAAATTTTTTTTTTAAAGAATTACAATTTGTTGAAATTGTGTGCAACCTCAAGCTACTTTTCCTGTGTCACTTACTGTGGGTAACTTACTAGGTTTGAACCGCCACGTACAATGTTGTTTTTGTGGGTTCAAACTTTATGTTCTTTCGCTACTTTCTTCTTTAGGCTGACCGAGCACCCTATTTTCACCTCCTTGTACTTCAGGATTTCCATGCCGTTTTTCCATTCTGTCTCATGTGATGGGAGCTTTGTTCTTCTTGTGATAGTCTCCCTTTTACTCTTTATACTAGAGGGTCTTGGTGCATCCCTTTCCTGTGTTTACCTCTGCTTCCCTTTTCTTACTTCCTCAGCCTTTATCTCTTTCTCCATGTAAAAGGTTGTATATCCAATAGTAGAATGTATTTGGAGGATCAGAAGATCTGAGGAGAGAAAGGATTGTTATTTTGGATGTCATTCATTGGATGTATCAACTGGTTCTTCGGTACGTAGATAACTGCAGAAGTGGTTAAAACAGCCGACTTTCCTAAACAGATGGCACGGCCTCCATGTATTTACTGTTTCCACTTCTGCATTTATTTATTTTTTAACAAAACAGTAAGGGATTTGCTACTGAATGCTAGTGTTTCCTGGCACTTTGAAATGGACCAGAGCCACTGTCCTAAAGGTACTGCATTCAAGCAAAACAGAGAATGATACTGAGTTGAACATGACCAGACAGAAACGGAAACTATCAATTATTAACTATTTCATTTGATTTTTCTCTCCCTCTCTTAGAACGTTCCATCTTTTATCAGTCGTATACTGAGAATTGGTAGCGGAATAGAAAATGTAAGTTTCTCACATTGCTTTTAAGATTGCTTCTTTATGTATAGATACAGACAAAATAAGTGTACAGATGTCTACAACTGTTAAAATAATTATACATACTGAGTTATACATACTGGGATGCATCATACATAGTCCTTGAGCTCTCTTTGTGACTGTGAGTCACAAAAGAAAATCTGTGTATAACAAGACCTGTGATATAAGTATCTGTGTAAGAAGACCAAGATTAGTGAGAATTCTGGGAGTACTTAAAAGGCTGAAAATAAATGTTTTCCCTTGAGGTTTGCTGTTGCAGCATGATGGGTTGGTTTCGGTTGTGTAGCCAGAGCCCCAGTGTCAGTTTTCTGCATGTGCTAGTGGCTTCCCTTGTTGCTTTCCCACAACTTCGTTTAACTTGGCTTATATAACTTGGTTTGTAAGAGCTAAAAATGAAGTTTTGAAGACTGTATCATAGCTGATGGTAACAATAGCAGAGGTAGAATAGGTGCAATTGTATGTTACTGCTGGATAACCCAGTACTTGAATTTTTACTGCTATTTGACTTAGTCATGTGAATTTTTAAATTAAATAAGAGCCAAATAATGTGAGAGTATCCGAGGCAACAACCTGGGATTTCAAATTCTTCATGTAATCCCATTCTTTCAAATAAAATGAACTCAAACACTTATATTTATTTTGAATAGGAGGAGAGTAATGAATTACAGAATTAAGTCTTAACGTCTGTCTGTATATTTAACAGCTGAGAGAATGTTACCTTAGTCTTGTGACTTCACGCTAAAGGAATTTTACATACATCACAAAAAAATCTTCTAAAGCAAGATTTGTAATTTTAATGGCTCCCCGTCTCCTGTAGAAAACAAAAATGCCTTCTCCCACATTAATATGTGTTCGGGTTCTCCAGATATTTAATAAAATGTTTCTAAATATAAATACTGTTAAACATTTTTCTCTTGTGTTTTCTTGCAGCATGATAGATATGTTAGGAAAATATTTAAGCCATTTATTGTCTGTTTTAACTGTTTGAAAAACTAACAAATTTGGAGCAAGTGCATCGTACAAGTGCTGCAACAGTATTGTATGTTACATATTTGAAATACTTGCATTTTATTGCCAATAAGGTTTTCTTTGTTGTTGTGGTTGTTTTTTGAAGAGATTTTGCTTTACACAGACTTAGAGTTGCTATTTATATATATATATTTATGTATATATTTTTATATATATTTTCTTCTCTCTCTTCATTTGAAATAGGGTTTCTTGGATGTTGGCGATGCTCTTGATTGGGTCAGAAACATAGGTGATGTCAATATTCTGCAGAAACTGAAGAAACTTGGAGATTATGGTCGAATCTGTCTTGAAATTTTCTTCGTTGAATGTAAGTATGAGCCCTGCTGGGAAAAAAAAAAGTAAGTTCCCATAAATTGTATGGGGGAGAAAAATAGTGTGTCTGTTGTGGGTTTTTTAAAATTTCAACCAATTAATTCTTCCTTGTATCTCTGTGGGTGACTCATACTCAGAGTGCTCCTGTTCTTTCCAAAAAGGAATTCAGATTTCCCTTTTCCCACTTTGGTGTACATATATCCTGTATGTATGCCCTTCATTCCCTTAATCTTTAACTTAGGGATAAAAGTTGTAGTTGTCTCAGTTGTTATTTGAGTCTTTCTGTTCTGTCTTTTGTAGAAGAATACCTTTTATTGCATTACTAGTGGGAGGTTGGACAGTGATATGTCAAAAATTGGCTTGCAAAGCTGTTCAGATTTGCTGTAAGTTATCAACACTAGCAGCAGAACTGCTGCTGCAGTGGCAAAAAGCTCACAGGCTGTTTCTGGCATCTGTTGAATTGCTTGTATTCTAGTCTTACCGTTTGTCTGTACACATTCTAACCTAACTACAGTAAATAGTGTGTCTTGCGTTGGACCTAGCATGTAAAGGATTTTTTTTTTTTTTATGACTAGGTAGGTACCAATTAGGTACTAGGTACCAATTTTGTGTAATATTAATAGCTTCACCCAGTTGCTTGTAGTTAGGCAAATTCTTAAATATTTTACTGTCTGTGACAATCTATTCTGGTCTTGCCCAGTAATAAATAATTCCTTTGCTTTTGAACATTTCTGTTGCTTAATTTGTTTCTATTATTTCGTATGTCAAAATTTACTTCCAATTGTAAAATATACCATGATACTTAACAGCAGAAAATAAACTTCTTGTCTTTGGTTACTTCTGCTATTATATTATTTTGATTTTTGTTTGCAGGTAAACGTTATATTACTAAAGTTGCATTAGAAGACTGTAATTTAGTTGAAGAATTTAAAGCTGTGACCTGTGAAAATTGTAGGAAGGTAAGAGTAGAGATTAGAATGCGCTTCAGCTTTTTCTTTTTTTTTTTTCTTTTTAGAATAGAATGGTTAGAGTTGCATAGGTTTCAAAAACTTGAAAAACTAAGCTCCTGACCTAATAAACAGAACTGTAGTTGTTTATTTTGCCTGTGTTTGTGGGAGTGGATGTTTCTGACTTCCTCCCAAAACGTTCAAGGAAATGTGGTTAGTACTGATGGAAAATTGTTTGACTTAATCCTTTTAGCACAGAAGGAAAAAAAATATTTGTCCTGTGCGCCTTTAGTGTAGGCTGATTCTTCTATCGGAGTCCAACTGATTCCTTCCTACAACACTGCAGTTCAGGAGCTCTGCAATTGGTTGGACTCCTTTACTTGTGGTTTGACACATGGTTGCGTTTGATAATGACAGTGTTCTGGAACCCAAGAATATGTTAGTCCTACTTCATAGTTGTTGATAACTGTATTCTTAACACTGTGGCTTTTTTATTTTTGTGCTTTGTAAGCTCATTACAATATTAAATTACAATTAATAGTGAATATATAACGTTGTTTATACAAGCATAAAAGATGATGAACCGACTCTTGCCAGATGTTGTCTTTACATCTCATTGCAGCTGTGTGTAGTTACAGTGGTTGCAGAACTGTTTTTTCCTTGACTTCACAGAACAGTGAATCTATGAAACAGAAAGGAAATGAAGAATTTTCCCAAGGAAACTTCTATTGTGCTATAATATCATATACAAAGGCCATAGAGTTTTGGTAAGAATTGAGCTGGTTATGGTTTTGTTATGTCATATACAGCCTTTTTTCAGATGCATCTTCTCTTGTATGCTGTCACATGAATTGCTCTCTTAAGAGGACAAATTATATTTAAGTAGAAGAAAAAGAAAAAATACTTTTTTATTTCTGTGTTATTATTTTATTTCTTGATAATGGTGACCATTTCCTCCTGCTTCCTCCTCCATCCCATGTCCTCCTAGAGCTTAAAGCTGATCTAAGATTACTAAGGTAAGTATTTAAACCCAAAATTAAGTAATAAATTCCTTATGAACAGCCACTTCTGATATTATCCCTCCTAAGTATTTTTCTAGCAGAATGGCAGAACTAACTGGCAAATATTTATCTCAAGTGTGATGCAGAACTATTGCGAGCAGCAATAAATACATATATTTCTTTTAAATCAAGTGCTTGGCAGATCTTTTTATGTGATGGCCTTAATTTCCTTTTGTAATTCTTGTTCTATTTATCCCCCAATGGTGGAATGTCTTGGAAGATTTTTCTGGGCCTTATAGAGGGACAGGCAGTCAGAAATTAAAGCCGCATTTTTTTGGTGCAGATAGAGCACTTGTCCGGTTGTGCTGTAGTTCATATGTACTGCGAGTTAGCAGCAGATTGTTTGCTTGTGGTATTGCTGCGTGTGTTATATGTGAGCAGGTGCTGGTTTGGGCAAGTTCAGGTGTATCTGTGGAAGTACCGGTAGGTTTCAAAAGGGCCCCATGTTTTGTAAAATTTGTGTTAATTGTTGTGTTTTCTCACAACTTCTTTTCTCAATTGGGGAAGGAGTATAAACCTTTCTCTTGTTTTTTTGAAAACGGAATAGGTTTAGTGACTTGAGCTGATTGAAAGTTGCATTTGTGGACCCAAATCTTTATAATCAAAGTGCGTGATTAACTATAATACTAATCATCTCAGCGACTGAACTTGTAAATTAGTGGGAGTACGTGGGGTAACTTGTCTATAATGTTGCTGCCGGAACGCTTGCATACAGCTATTCTGAAAACTTAACTTTTTTTTCCTTAGAATTAATGTACATTATCTTTATGTGTGTGTGTGTGTGTGTATATATATATATCCTCTTTTTTTTTTTCCTCCCTAAGTCCTGCAAACCACCTTCTTTATGGAAACCGGGCTATTTGCTTAATTCACACAAGACAATATAAGTAAGTAACTCCTTGTTTTTAATCTGAAATGCTGTGTTCTCCTGCAATTGCAGTTTGATGATATACTTAGTAAAGTGATCTGCTGAAAGACTTAGTAAAAGGAGGAAAAGAATAAATATCTGATGGGTAAGATAGTAAGGATAGCACTGTTTTAACTCAGGTCAACTTCAGCTAAGAAATACTGCCCGACCAGGCTTTGGCATCATAGATGAATGTTCTTTTACTCGTCTTACAATTTTAGTGCCTTGCACAATGCAACCCTGGTCTGAAGATTTTTCTGAAATATGAATAATAAATAATTCTTTTTTTTCCTCCCTCCCTTATCAAAGGAGAGCCCTTACTGATGGAAAGAGGGCCACTATTTTGAAGCCGGATTGGCCAAAGGTTAGTTTTGTCATTTGTCATTCATTTGAAATTGCGTTTGTTAGTACTGTAAACCAATGAAGATCCCAAACCCCGAATTACAGTGTTGCCCTTGGTGGATGTTAAATGTTCTCTCACTAATGAGAGAAGAATGAATGCAGTATCTGATGAACTGAAAATTTTGATGTAGTCAGCCAAGTAAATAGTTTGCTTGTCTTTTTATCTAAAAAATGTTATTTTGGAATACTTACAGGTGTTATTGGATAGTGTACTGAATATGCAAGGACAGAACAAGGCATTTATTACATTGTTTTGGGTACTTACACTACTGCATTAATTCAAAAAGAATATACAGAGCTCCTCATAGTAAAAGATGCTAAATATGATGAAAATATATTTCCAAATTTTCTTGGCCTAAAGAAAGCCAAGCGTAAAGAAGGCTGTTTTGGATAGTGGGGTTTTTTTTTTTTTTTGAGAGAGAGAGAACATAAAACTGATGCTCATTTAAATTGATACTCATTTAAATTGGTGCTCATTTAGGGTCATTACCACTTCTGTAAGGCTCTCTCCTTACTGGGGGAACATGAATTGGCTTTGGAAGCTAATGAGAGAGGTCAGGAACTGTGCAAGAATATTCTTGAAGGACTGAAGGATCTTATACAACAAAATGACAAGTTAAAGAAGACAATAGAAGAAATCAGTGGTAATATTTTCTGATTTCAAGATTTGCCTTAAACAATAAAAAATTCCTTCGCTGGTATCTTTCCTTTGAAGCTTCCTATTTTTTTTTTCTCTTCCCATATAATTTTTATAGGTATTAAACACTATAAGCAGAAACCGAAGAAATCACTTCTTGGGGAAAAGTAAGCAACAATTGGATTCATTTTCTTTTTTTTTTTTTTTTTTTTGAAATTAATAGTGCTTAATGTAAGATCCGATTAAGTAGTACAATATATAGATACTGCTTAAATTTCGTTATCTATCAGCAAATAAAAATAAAGAAATAAAATAATATCGGAGTGTTGCCTATTAGTGAAGAGGAATTAGGAAATAAATAAGCTCTTTTGTGGTATTTTCCCACTTCTAAGTAGTTTCCTTCAGCATTTTAAGCTTCACCCATTTTGAAAGTAGAAAGGAACAATTATATTTTCTTATTTCATCTCCACCCTCCATGAAGTACTCTAAACTGTTGAGGTAATTTAGTGCCTAAAAATGTCAGTAAAATCACCCCACTGTTTTATGCTAATTTTTCTGTGGTATAAACCTGCTTTCTGAATATATATATATATATATATAAAAACATATATATTAAATATACATATATATATATATGTATATGTAACTGAATGCTAACAAACTCATCTGTGCATTTTGCTGATGGTAAAAACAAATATGCATACTAATTAATGAAAAACTAATTTAGTCGGGTACAGTTTGATTTGCATGGAGAGAGCAAGAAATACTTCATAATCCCATGTTCTCTGTTACAGTATATGCCTTAACTTTTGTATGAAACTATTTTTCTGAAATACCTTTTTGATTTTTATCTGTACACTTTGAAGTACCAGTGCTATCTGTTATTCAAAGACCGTCCAACAAACAAACTTTTAAAGAGCTTTTTGTAAAATGGAAAATTCTGGAGAAACTTACGTTCTTATTTCCCTTTCTGTACTGCACGCTTGTCTAACACTTGGCCTTTGGCAAGGTCTATTTTTTAAACGTGTCCTAGTTCAGTTCCTGTGTCTTACATAGAAAATGTGTGTTTGTGTTGAGCAGGGGAGGGGTTGTTGTTTTAAATAGAGTATTTTGTTTTTTAACTTACAGATCTTTGGTTATCCATAGACTGTCCAATCTGAGGTATCAAATATGACTATACGATCAAAAATTCTTATATGCTTATGTCATGACGCTTCTATAAGCAGTAGACCTTGCTTGTGTTTGTTCAGAGTGTGTGTGTAGTACCTGTTTTAAGTGTGAAGCATAAGGATTTTTTTCTGTCTTTGTCAGAGATTGCAATTCTTTAGAATCTCATTTAGTTGTTTCTCAAGAACAAAAAGAAATAGAAAAAGACGAGAAGAGAACCCTGTCTGATCTTAAAGATCATCAATGTCATCACAGACATGATATCAGGGTAAGTTACAGTATTGCCAAGTAGGATTTCAAGACTAACAGTCTTGAAAGTCTTGAATGTGTCTTCTTCCTGAAACGTTTTATTAAAAGTGGTGGCCCAAATTTTGTAGCAACTGTGTTACTTGCTCAGCTAAATGCACTTTTCCAGTCATGTTTAACTGTCAAAAACTGTTTAGAATTTCAGATTTTAAAGAAGGTTGGAAGTGGTTGCTTGAATGTGAATTTGAAGGTTGTATGTAGTGAGAAAGAGCAGGTTTCTTCACATTCACTGAGACTTTGAAGTCCTATTGGATTTAATGAGTGGTCCAGTCCTGCCTACTGATGTGCCTGCAGAAACGGGCTTCCCTTTACCTTTGAGAGGGTCCAGTTAAAGTGAGGGAATGTGATGAAGTTCAGTGGAAGATGTTTGAGCAAAAGTTGCCTCATACACAGGGCCTTTGCTATAGCGTAATGTTCTGCACTGACACGGGCGCTGACATTAAGTGAAGACAAGAGTGGTTATAGAGGATGATTTCGTTGCACAGAATTGTGGAGGGGCCACAAACCACGTTTGTGCCTTAATTCTGAGTTGGATTTGCTTTCAGACCATGGCAATTATGAGGTAACAGCACTGAAATGCAGTTATAACTTAGTAGCTTTAGTCTGCTTGCAAAAAGTTATTCTTTCACACTATTATTATTTCAAGAGAAACTTTCGTAGCTCTTTCTGATTTTCTTTACTGTTACTGTTGTCAGCTAATCTACAAATTGCTTATTCTAAATCAGTATATCAGGTGTGTTTTACAATCCTGTCATGTCTTAACAGAAGCAAGATGTTAAATAATATAGCTTTAATAGCAGGATCAACATAGCTTAGCATATACATGTGAAAATCCTGTTTCTGGGATCCACAGGATGGGTGGGGCTGCAAAAAGTATGACGCACTACTGAGAAAATGAAACCAAGCAAGGAAAGGAAACAAAAGTTAGAGTATGTGCTGAAAAAAAGAAAGTAGCAAGCTGCAGAATATGCAAGAAGTGCTTAAAGTTTCTGATTAACTTGTGAAAACTTTCATCTGCCTTTATGGTAGGAAAACTTTCCAATGTAGATCTTATTTGTCTTTGGGATTGATACTACTGCAAAAAAAAGACTAGTATTTTCAAATCAGATTATAGGACTAGGTATGCAGTTGGGAAAATATTTAATATAAGTGTAAAATAATATATAAACTCCAAACAGCATAGGTATAATGTAGTGGAGATATTTACCTTGTAAAAACTATGGCTAGAAATATCTCGTGTAAATAATGTCCTTTTTTGGGTGGGGGGGAGGGGAGAGAGAGAGACAGGGGGGATGATGGGGACAGGTTGTTAAGGGACATATTAACCATAACCCAGGTTACTTTAAAGTGTTGTAGGTTATTTTTCAATTGCAAATGGTAAATCTTTGTCATAAACACTGGGTGATCATAGTTTTGCAATAGAACTGTTAATCTCAAGCACTGCTTCCTCCCCCCAAAGCTCAAACTGTTATGGATGCTTATTTCCTTTGTGATACTGATGAGGTAAAATTTTTGGTTTATGAATGTTTGAATTTTCCAGCAAAATGTGTGTGTATATATATATATATATATATATGTATGTATATATGTATGCATTCACTTATGTGCTCCAGTGCTCCTCTGTTACCATCGGAATGTGTATTACAAGCTCTTTAAGTAACCTGTGCACTGGAGAATAAGGAGGAAAAGGCCAGAAGTACCAGCTTATAGTTGGACACTGGTGCCCCCATACTACCCAGTACAAATTTGTTCATTGCTATTTCCTGAGAGCTCTTGAAATAAGTGCAATTACTGATGCATTTGTTGTTAATAAAGGAAGGAGAAAATGAACCGGGCTTGCGGCCTGTGTCGCTGGCAGAGCAGAACTGAAGCTGAAACTATACAGATTCAGTCTCCTGATCGGCTTCTTGTGGCTGTAGCTGAAACTGTCTTCATACAGATATCACTTTGCATACACATGTCTGATAACGTGAAAGAACTCAAGGGCTTGAGACTTAGCTGTCCTGACTGCAGGCCCACTGCTTCTGAGAACTTGCCTCAAACTCAGAAGCCCCATGGGTTTGTTTTATACCCAGGTCAAACTGGGCTGTGGTTAATGTTTTTGTTGGATACCTTTGCCATATAACAGGTGTCTAACTGTGCCGTTCCCATGTACCTTTAGCTGTTAGATAAGCGTGTGCACTGTGTCGTGTGGACATTGCAGCTGCTGTGAGCTCTCCCGGAAGCTCTCAAGGCCTCGCAGCTGCTCATAACTCCTCGCAAGGGCTAGTTACTTATTTCAGCGATTTCCAGCAAAAGGGGGAGGGAGGTGGAGTGCTCCTATCACATTCCACTTGCTTGGCGTGGCATAAGGCGCGCTGACGTGACTGAAGCCATTGATGAGTGGCTGTGTGCTATCGAGCTGTCCTCCCAGTGGCTAATCCATCAAATACAGGCGAATTTGTCGCTGGTCTTGAATGTCACATTAAAGAGGATTCCAGGTGAAATTCTTCATGAACTGGTATCTTAGTATTTTTGCACCCCTTGCGGGTACATCATTATATGGTGTTATCACTGTGACTGTTTAATCTTTCTTTTTCAGATAATAATGAAGTGGGCAAATCAACAGTAAAAACAGTCTTTAAATCTGAAAATTGAAAGTAGTGAATATAAAGCTTGAGTATATTTTTGTTTAAAATATATGTCTTTGTAAAACCAAATTCATGTATTCATTACTAGGTAACGGATACACAAAGAACAGAAAACAAAAATTGGTCTTTGGAGTTTCTACCAGGTAAGTTTGTCTTTACTGTTTATCAAACCCGAGATAGTTTTTCTTATTGCTGTTGCCACCATTAACCAGAAGTATACCTAGTGTTGTCTTTACAATGCTAAACTATCGTGTTACCCTTCTGTTTTTTGTTATCATGCAGTTACTTAGACACTTTCTCTCCTGTATTTGTAGCTCTTACTCGCTTTGTGTTTCTGTGGTTTCTTCTAACTCATCTGGATTAAGTTGGAATTGAAAGTGCAAATAGAAAGTAGAATGCTGTGTCATAGGCTAGAAATGCAAATTATCAATATAAGCTTTTGAAATTATTATTCATTCAAAGACAGATTCAGGATTTTAAAGGATTTAAATGAGGCAATCTAATTTTGAGAAGTGTATGCATAATTTCAGTGTTCATAAATCATTTGTGAGTACTAAAATCAAAGCTCCACACAAACCATTGTAAAAGACCTCCCACAGTCCCAAAGATTCTGTGGTGGAAGTGTTCATTCTAAGCTTTAATGGTTGTCATTCTGAAAATGAAATTTTTTTTTCTTTTTCTTTTTTTTTTCTTCTGGTATAGCCTACTATAACTGAAAAAACCTAAGAGATCTTTTTCTTCACATTCAGAAAACGTTCTTATTTATGATGTTAATATGGAATCTGAACCAGCTGTGTTCTTGTGCTGTATTCTAAAGATGTGACCTCCAAGGCCTTCTAGTCCTACCTATGCAAAAGTTAATCTGAAGTCCCTGGGCACCGCACTGCTGTGCTTTGGACTTCATATACTTAGTTACACTGGTGCCAAAATGCAGAACACCTGAAAATTTAATTTTAAGAAGCCAATTAAGGTGTATCACAATGTTATGTGTAAATGTGCAATGATTTCTTGGAGATTTTGGGCATATAGGATCAGCTGGAAGAACTGAGAGATTTATTGTGACATGGAAAATATATAAAGGTTGCAAAAGAAACAAGCTGAGCAAAAATGATGAAAAAAATGTGACATGGTAGGTTTAAAATAATATTAAAAAGAAACTGAAAGGTGTTGAAGAATTTAGTGGAGAAAGTATAGTTCGGGGAAGGGATTTAGAAAGAGGAAGGCAAATTTAGCAAGAAAAAGGTATTTTGATGAAATAGATGGTATGAAGGGGCAAAATGTGAGTTGCACAGCTGCCATAGGGAATTTTAAAGTAGTTGGAGCAGTTAAGGAGGGAGATGAGTAACAAAAGAGTTAGGAGAGAAATGAAAATACTTCTAGGCTAGAGAGATGATAGAAACATGAAATGTTTTCTTGAACTTTAACTTAAAATCATTAAAAACATGAGTACTTACTGATTCCATGGTGGTTTTTTTGTTTAGCTTTGTTTTTTCTTTGTTCTTTCCTCTTCCTCCCTCCTCATACTCATTATCTCAGTACTGAGGTAGAGGAAAATATTTGCCTTTGCTTCGAAAGGAGGAGCCATGTTCTGAATGACTCACTGATACAAGCTTAGGGTGGGTGGGAAGAGGAGCTCACTTTCTTACTCTCTGTTCACTTGAGGTCTAGTGACTTGCAGGAGATTAATGTGAAGAAACTTTATGCCACTTTATCTTATCTTGCTGTTCTCTTTCATTTCACTTGTTGCTTGCATGTACTATTTTTCTGAGCATGTTTATATTTTTGTTAAATATCTTTGTTTATTCCTAATGGGAATTACTAGCAAAAGCAATATTACTTCTAATATTTTAAAATATTTGTGGGGTAAGTGAATTATATTTGCTATTGAATTAACATATCCTCTTATAAGTATTTTTATTATAATTCAGTAGGATTTGTTTTTTTACTTTTATTTTTGAAAGGTTATTCCTTCTGGATTAATTAGATTTAAGTAATTTTTATTGAATAGCTTTTAATATGAAATTCCTTTGGTGAAAAGTGCTGATAAGTTAATCTCTTTGGTAGGGAGAAGAAAGAATCGTATTGATTTTAGTCATAATATTTGAAAAGCCTTTTACTTCCAGGCTATCAGGAATCTTTAGAGTTTGTAATACAAAGAAAAATCATATTTTTCTCTCTTTTATCTTCATTAAAATTTTGTTTTGAATGATGTACCAAATCCTGAAGTATAAGAAACCTAAATAATAAAAGGTATATATTCTCTACTGCTGTATGGTAAAATAATATGGTTGAAAGGTCTGACTTTCAAACAGGTTGTTTTTTTTCTTGCATTTTAAGGTTTCTTTTATGGGGAATTTGCAATAGTGTGATATAGTGTTGCTTCAGAATTATTGCTATGTGTGAACTGTGTCAATAGACACCCGTTTAAACTAGTGCTTGAGTATTATTTTCAATAAATGATTCCCTCCCCTCCCCCCCCAAAAAAAAAATTTTTTTTTTGAGCAGGTCCAGTTTTTATGATACTTGAATTTTGTTTTGATTAATTCAAATTTTATATCTTGGAGTGGTTTGAGATGAAAAGTTACTTGTAGAGTAAGACATTAAAGTGTATATGATTTACCTTGACACAAGACACACTACTGACTTAAGCGGCACTGCTCAAGTGGATGCAGTTAAATCTTTACAGCATTAGAGTCTTCCAGGGTTTTTGTATCTAACCTTACAAAAATGAAATACTTTCCCAAGTTTCCTCAGTGGACATTTTAGGCATGGGTAGTTACTGAAACTTTATATGTAACTCATGTTTTTAATTAAATGTCATTGTAGATCAACTTAAGCTTAAGTAAACATTGCTTGATTTCCGAAGTTGCTGTCCCTTGCTATTGGGCTCCAGTACTTTAGTAAACTCGATCCGAGTGCTGGAATGTGTACGGTCTCTGTGATGGTTCCCAGTACAAGAAGTCACTGTTATCTTCTAAACCGTTTATAAAAGATTGTAGCTGGAGATTATATTTCTTTTTAGAAGGGTAGCTGAGGCAGAAGAGTTTCCTATATGAGCTTGTAAAATCAAGTAGGTTTAACCAGCAAAAAAAAATCTATCCTCCTCCCCTCCATATATTAAGGAACACTTGCTGTCTATCATCCTTAGCAGTTTTACAGTAACACTTTACAGTAACACAGTAACTTTTACAGTAACTTTTACAGTAACACAGGTGCTGCTTGGCTCTTTACCAGTCCAGAAACATAATTTCTTTTTTTTTTTTGTCCTGATCGTATAATATATAGTTGCTAGAAGGAAGCTTACCACTACGTGTTAAATTTTCGGTTTGTGAAATCCATGGAAATTAAAAATTTATTCATGAGCGTGTTTATACGCATTCAGATGCTTAACCTTCCATTTTAATTATACTGAAAAAAGATGAGAGATCATTTGTCGTGAATGGTGGGACATTTGTATTCTGAACAATAACAGTAGTTGTTAAAATGTGTTTTATTTTTCCTCGTTACTAATATAATTACTAATGTAGTTACTAATGAAGTTTTTATTCAGTTTGCAGAGCCCTGTAGCTAATCAACAACAATATTAGATGCCTGAAAAATTAAAACGTATTAGTAGAGTTTTTTGTTAAGTCTTCGACATTAGCTTTGAGAATTAGAAGTGAATTGGTATCATATGACAGTCTTGTCTTTGTGGCCCAGCACTTTCACTTTATCAAACACTTGTGTTTTATAATCAGGGAAATTTGCCTTGATCTATTGCATATGTTTGCAATCCCAAGATTAATACGGTTTGATGTTGATTCCTTTAGCAATGTATTTATGAGGCAGGAAACACGTTAGAGACTTTCTTTATTCAAACTTGAATGTAAGGGCAAACAGTCGTATCGTTTGGTTGGTTATTCCCTTAAAAATATAGATATCAACTAACGGCAGTTAGTTATCTACTGCCTATTTTTTTTTCTTTTTTTTAATTATGTATTATCAAATTCACAAAGTTCATAAAAAGGTGGCTTTTTGAAAAACTTTTCAAGTTGTTTTAGTTTTAGATATTGTAAATATTTAGGGTATATTACTTGTGAAGTCAATTGTGAACTTTGAAATTTTGAGTTTATGTCTTTAAGATAATATTCATTTTGTTTGAAATTCTTTTTTCATTGCAGATCAGAGTTACCAATGTAAAGGAAAATCAAAGAACAAAGCCAGTGATTCTGAAAAGACAAAGTAAGACATTTGTTTTATTATTTTGAGTTACCTTATATAGCACTTAAAGTGCTACTGTCACTTTGTCTTCTGGTATTTATACAATTGAAGGAACAATGCTTATCGTTGAAATAAATGCATTTTTTATTGAAAGTGCTTCATCTATTTGCTCTTTGTTAGTTACTTTTAAGAGGTTTTTTTTTTCTTTCTTTGTAAGCTCTTAAATCTAATATCCATTATATTTAATTAGTGGCTCAGTTTCCAAAGCAGTATTGATTATATTTTAGATAAAAGATAATCATTTCAGGAGTCAAGGAAAAGAAGGTAATCTATAGAAGAACAAATCACAGATTTTTTTTTTCCAGATATCACATGTTATTTGTCATTAGGAATGCTTTCTAACAGAAATACTTCCAGTAAGATGATGTTTTTTATATGTTATTACTACTAGTATTTTTTTTGCTATTCTATAATATTTAATCTTAAGATTTAATCTGAACACTTAAATTCTAATTTTCCCCTGTTTGGGAGCCTCATGAGTGGAACACAAGAGCAGCTCCTAGAAGTGCATATGATGACACTTTCCTGAGTTGCAGGAGGAGTGCCTTCATACTAGCATTTCTGACATTTGTGCCTGTGTACTGAAAATATTCTTTTTTTTTTTTTTTTTTTTTCTGCCAGGGTGACAAGCAACATAATCAATGTTGGAAATTCAGATTCTCTTTGATAGAGAAGAGGACCTGTAGGAAAAGTAGAAAGTAAAATTAGTCTTTGTTCAGCCATTTACACATTAGTTGTATCTTAATGATTTTTGCCTTTATAACACCAGAACCACTCTTCTTGTCCAGCCTACTAGCTATTTCCAAATTTCAAGGGAAGAGTATAAGAACAGAACAAGTATATCATGTTTTTCATTGCAGATTATTTCCATGGAAGTTGGTAAAGCAACTCAAAAAACTGTTGGTAGTATGCAGGAGAAATTCTTACAGAAGCAACTTTTCGTTGTTTTTTAAACTATGAAAGAAAAAGTGAGGGGAAAAGGCCTGAATATATGAGAGAAATCTGATATACACTTTTTATTTAAAATTTAACATACCTAGTATATGATTACATTGCTTGTATCTTCCTCAGGATATTGTTCGTGTTAAGACAGTTGATTAAGTTTCGTAATATTCAGTTCTCATGGGGAGCCTGAATTATTATTTGAAAACTAAATATTTTGCTAAAGGTCAATTGAATTTCTAAACAAAAACATAATTTTAATAAGCCTTTTTTTTTTTTTTTCAAAGTTACCCCAGAGCATTTCACACTATTCACAGCCGTAACAATAAATGTGAAAATTTTGCAACAAAAGAAAATGTGAATCAGGTTCTAATTGCTGTATTTAAACTTGCACCACAGCATAATTCAAGCTCTATCTTACGTTCAAGGCCTCTCTGTACTTGTACCAAATAGTTTCTAATTTTTGATACTTCATGTAGTTACTGAAATTAGAAGAAGATAAGCGGACATGAGGAAAGCATTGCAACTCAGCCTTGAACTTATACTGAAAAGGAGCTTTTGCTTAAAGTCCTTTAGTGGGACTTGAGTCTTGACCTAAAATGTGTTACTGTCTAATTACATGAATAATCCCGGTAAAACATGCTGAATGTAAATGCATACTTTTGCTGGTTTAGGGCCAATATGGAGTTAGATAAGATAAAGTACTTTGAATTTTAATTAAAAAATGCATGTTCCTATCAGCCATAAAATTAAAAAAAATTAGCACAAGAAGTGTTTCTTATGGTACTAGGGGCAGCGTGATCCAAACAGAATTGGGGAGGGTGCTGCTTCTGTATGTGATGGCCTTTGCAGAAGGATTTCTGATCTGTTATATAATGAAGAAAGGAAGAACTACTCACCGGTGACTTTTTTTGTAAGGCAACTGAGGCAAATGCTGACATATTGCTTAAGGCCATACAGAGATGGAAAATTTTTTCAGTGTTTTATTCTGAGTTGTAGAAATAGTCTGATTGAGCTCTGACTGTACTTTGATGCTTGTATTTCAGTTAGTTTTTTTTTTTCAGTTGCGTTTAGGATGATTAAAAACAGATACAAGACTGAGCAAAATAATCTCTTATTGAAATAGGGAAGCTGATCCGCATTTCTATTAAGTGACATGATTTTTTTTTTTTTTAATGCACTCTTCTCAAGTAAAAGAGTCCAAGTCTATAGCAAAACCTGCGAGCTGCATCTGGCTATCCCTACTCGTAATCTGAGCATGGCCACAAAACCTACCCTCTTTTAATATTTATTTATTGTGGTATAATTGTCTTTGTGCTTTTCCATAACTTTTTGAATGCCACTGTAACTAGAAAATGAAACTTTGTTGCAAGAGAGGTCATTAGTGTCATGTAGCTGGTTGTTATTAGTGTTGTGTAGTTTGCTGCTGCTTGGTTTCTCCTTTCGCTTTCCCTGGGGAGAAAGAGTAATTGGAATTGAGTATGTGAGCAACCCCTTTCCAGGTGCCTGACTGGAGCCCTGGCTGCCTTCTTGCCCTGGTGCCTTGGGCATAGGGCAGGGTCCCCACCCAAGTTTTCTCACTCCTGAATGCGAGCAAATCAGCCCAGAATGAGATGCAGAGGGGAGACGAGGATGGAGAGCGCCCTGCTTCTCCTGAAGCCATAGTGGTTCCCAGGGCAGAAGGCTGAACAATTGTATCAATCTTGGTAGTTTTACAATGATTGTTATTGCTATAATGAAAAGAGTGCTGCTGCCTTGATAATTTCCAGCGAACAAGTGAATGTTGCGTGATGATAGAAGCACAGATATTTCTCTATTCTTGAAAATTAGATTACTCTTATCCACAAGCTTATGATACCATTCTTCTTTTATTTGTAGAGATCACCTTGATTTGAAGATAGAGTATAAAAGCCTCCAAGATAAACTCATTTGTACTGTGCAACAGGTAAATATGGGAATTGGTTAGTGTAAGACCTTAATTTGGACCTTAACCTTGTTCTTACTTTGGGCTATAACACTAACTTACTGCTTCGTGTTTGGCTTGTTTTCTATCAGGAAACAAAGCTTATGTAATTATATTTCCTCCTAGCTTGTAGCTCTCTCTACCTTTCTTCTACTCTTCTTTCCCTCTCTGTGTCTTCCTGAAAAAAAAAAAAAAAAAAATCATAATTGGACAGAAAGTATGCCTATTTCAATGATGGTTCATGCTGAAGATACTTCTGAAATTGAAGATCTGCCTTGGAGAAATAAAATCTATTGCAGAGACCATAGAAAAATAGAGCAAGGTCATTCTTATTGACTTCAAGAAGTTCATCTGATTTTATTACTTTTCTCAGAATTACTTAATGTGTATATAATTATAACTTCACTGGTTATATATTAAATCTATGTGCTTTATATTGAGGTGATTAGAATTTTATACATCTGCTTAATGACCATAAGCTATGGTTTTACATTGCATAGTAAACCCAGGCCCTTAGTGGATTTCAGATCAAACTGTTTTTCCATCCAACAGGAAGAAAAATCTGTTCCTATGGCTCTCATGTCAAGATGGGTTAGTTACAGAAACTTGTTACCTAAACATTAAGTTTAGTGTGAGTGAAATATGAATAAAAATATAGATGTATGAACACTAGAGAAAATTACAGCTTTGTTAAAAAGTAAGTCTCAGTTGCCACAGAGTAGTGTGTGTGATTTCCTTCAAATGAAGAGGAGGGAAAAATTGACTTAAAGATGTCGAGAACATGGAGAGCAAAACTTAAGCCACTAAATACTTGGATAAGGAAAACTAGAACAGAAAAAAATAAGGAATTTAGTCAAAGACTTTTGAGTGACGAGACAAAGTAAAGAGGAAAAAGATCCAAACCAGCACTCACTGCTAGTGGTATAAAAGGTGAATCTGAAATTTATTGATCATTACCAGTCAAAATCGGCCTCAGAGATGCTATGAAGTCAATAGGGAGCATTTTATGTCACACCAAAGTCATCCTCTCTAGACCACCTGAACATTTATTTTTTGGTACAAAAGTGGGTATGTGAATATAGATTTATAAAATCAATGCAGCACTTTTGTACAATGAAGTTACCTTCACATTCCAAAAGATTTCTTGCTGAATTTTGTTACATTGATTTCCTATGTAGTCACAGAATAACATAGTTAGAAGCATAAATGAGTAGCGTAGCTCTCTTGTTTCCCAATTTGTAAGCAAAAATTGTAAAAGATCACTGGGAATCATTCAGAGGTGTATAGTTCCCTTCCCAGAGTTCCCTCTAAATGTGGCTTCCTGTTTTTGATAGGTATGTTTGAAAATAATCATGGAACATTTTGTTGAATGCCTATTTAGAACCCAGTAAAATTGTCAAGTTGAAAATTCCCCATCTTAACTCTCATCACCAACTATTAATGAATACCCCCAAACTCCCTAATGAATCCATGGGGATGCATTTCATTAATCCTTTGCGCTTTGTTAATTTGGAATAGATACCAGAATTGACTAATCTGTTTTTATTACCCTATAAGCCAGAAGTAGATGCAAGAGAAGACATGTTCTGCCTTCACTCAGACTCCTTGCTTCCTAAAAATCCTTATAAAAACTAGATTAATGCAGCAGTAGTGTCTGGCTAGGTTGTAGTAATGACTGTGTTAGGTTAGGTTATGTTGGGGGAACAGATCCAGGTGTCAGTCATTCAAACATTGTTGTGTATGTCATTATAAATAGTATCTTGTATATATGTTGTGGCACAAAAGACTTCTGTTCTATGCAATAGCATCAGTGTTATTCTGAATACTAAGTTTACACTGTTGCCAGGTGAGCATTAAGACACTCAAAAATGTATCTGCGTAAAGACCTTTGCTACAGAGAACATAATATTTTGCATTACTGCTTTTCCATTTAAAAAAACTTAAAATAACAAAACATTTGTTTTTTGTGTTTAAAAAAACACGTGAATTAACACTAAAGTAACACACGTTGCTCTTCTTTAGTATTCTAGGCAAGCATTAAATTTAGTATATCAAAATTCTAATTCAGCACGTAAGAATGCAGTTAAGCACGACATTAGAGGAATTAGACAAGTGAAAAATTCTTATGTCCATTCTGCCAAAAAATTCCCACTCCATTTCTTTCCTACCCCAATGCTGTCTTTAGAATCACAGTGGAAAAAATAAGCTCAAATGTTAATTTATTAAAACTTGAAAGTGTAGGACAGTGACATCCAATGGAAAGCTTAATAGTAGTATAAGAGCCTAGGGTGCATGGCTTGACCTTCTTGTTCTCATTTAATTTTTCTTCTGATTGCAGTAATAAATAGTGGGTGAGTGTCTTAAATAGTCTAATTACTTCTACCCTAGCACAATGGTCTGCTTCCCAAAACTAACTTTATTTTAGTGTTTTAATAAATCAAGGGAAAAAAAAAGTTTCTAATTCTGAAACTGCCTATCTGGAATTAGCCTTAGGTTGGAAGTCCTGCTGACTTTAAGCAGCAGCTGTGGTGAAAGGCTAATACCTCAATGAATTCTGATATGTTTGAGTGTTAATTATGAATGTAGCTGGAGAGAATAGGCAGGCTGAAATAACTTAGATTTTTTTTTAAGAGTACTTTTACACATGCTGGAGGTGATATGATGATGTTTGGACTAAAATTGTGAGAGTTTGTGAAGAGAATGGGATCTAGATATAGAACAAAGACTAGATTTTAGGAGATTAACTGTAGTAAGTCTGGAAAATGTAAGTTGTTAAAAATTCAGGTGACTGAAACAAAATTTTAAAAAAATTGATAAAGCTATAGAAAACAGAATTTTCACAATTGTTTATTGGAAAATTTTAAGGAAACAGCTCTTTTAATTTAAAAAAGAAAGGAATGCTCCTTTTTACTTATTGTTTTCTTAATTATTTCAGGTGGATTTAACTATGTTACCAGAAAAGTTGACATCTCTTGTTCATGAAGGTTATACAGCTTTGATGGACCAAAGGTGTCGCAGTGCTGAACAAGCCTTTTCACAGTTACTGAGCATGCTAAATCCTTCAGAACTAAAGGTAAATTGAGGAGAATAACCTGTGTATTTCAGCTTTATGCTTTCAAAACTGTTTCAGTCTTTCTCTTCCCAGAATAATCTTTATTAATGAATGGTTGCCTCTAAAATTGACTTCACGATAGTTGTTGCACCGACAAGAAGCTCACAAATGAGAAAAATGGGGAACAGATAAGAAAGCTATAGTATTACAGGATATATCCTAATGTTGAGCATATACATATGGATTTTTAGGTGCAATATTTGTCAAAGTGTTTAATATAACAATACTGTGCGAGGTCATCTTAACCTTTATTCATATGAGTGAGGGGTGAAAAGTGTGTATGTTCTGGTCAAATAACTCCTTGATGGAAAAAAAACTAAATTTTTGTGTGCTGGTATCTAGGCCACTAATCTGTTTATCTTAGATTTCCTGCAAATACTTTATTGTAGTTTCAGCTTTGTGTTATTATGTGTATGTGCATGTTTGTACTGCAAGCTCTCACTCCGGTAAGGGCTATTGCAGTGCCAAGAATGAGTCTTCTATAAATTGTCAAAGTAACTAATGCATCAGCCTATCTGTAACTGTCATGATTTATTTATAAGAAAAAGTTTTTTTTATTTTTTAATTGTTTTCTTTGTTTATTTGAAAAGTAGTAGAATCTGCTCACTTCTGAATATAAGTTGAGAAATTGAGTATTGTAGTCTAGCATGGACTCTTTGTGTTATATGAAGTCAACATTAAGGCCCAATTAAAGTGTTTCTAAAGACAAAAAAATCAGGATGTGTTATGTTGAAATATATGGGGTGACCATGTGATCACAAGGCCATGAGAAAAGGTGAAATTTGTTAACCATCACTTTTTATTCTGATTGATAACCGTAACCTTAATCCGTTTAAAGGTTGTGATAAGTAGGATGATGTAATGACAATCAGTTCACAGTAAATAGTAATAGTTCTGGTTACTGGCTTAGAGTTTCTGTGTGTGTCACTAGTATAATGCAACTCTATTTGCAGCAACTGAACCTTCGTGCTATTAATTATGTTGTAATCATCTATGGACACGCCACTGCCCTTCTTGGAATAGGACAGCCTGAGGTATGTCATTAAACGACTGTATTGCTTTTAATGAAAGCTTTACATTCTTTTTCTTAAAAAAAAGAAAAAAACTTTTGGTTGTAGAAAATACTAGCACAGAAGACTTGTTTTTTGTGTATTCTTTAAAAAATAAGTGTATGACAACATGTTTAAAAATGTCTGGGTTTCTGTAGCACAACAAGCTCAGTCAGTTCATTATTTTGGGGAGCCCATGTTTGCAGAATAAATTTTCCTAAAGAAAAGAAAGCCTTTGTATGTGAGCATAAGATTTCTTAATTGCACTTTACTGTTCATAGAATAGGATATATTGAATTTACTGCTTTCCTGGAGGGGTGGGGGGAAAGAAAGAAAAAATGAAAAATATTTGCATAAATGACACATACTTTGCCTTAAATTTATTTTGAAGGAACTGATAAAGGCTGAAGACCAGTTTAAAAAAATAATTGAACAGTACCAGTCGGAAAGATGTGATTGTTTGGCATACTATGGAATTGGAAGAGTATACCTCAGACAAAACAGGTTAGCATAATATAAAGCTTCAGTATTTGATGTAAAAATTATTGCTGAGAAGGCATGGAGGTGTTGCTTTCATTATTCTTTATTAAGGACTAAATTCATATATTAGACGGACTTATTACAAATTGAAATTTGTTGCCATTAAGGATGTTAGGCAAGCTACTGAATCCAGCAGACTTTAGGACATGGCAATCGTCCCTCCTGGCTGCTGCACTCAAGCTGGGTGTCCCCTGAGGCCCAGGGCTCTCTGTCCCGCTCTGGCTGACATGGCAGTTATTGCTGTTTGCGCCTGTGGCCGGTAGCAAGGCTGAGCTCGTGCCTCAGGAGGGCAGATAGACTGCCCCAGGGCACTGGGCACAGGTGGCCGCACAGGCTACCACAGACAGTGACACTCACACATGGGAAGAGAGTGAGATTACACGTGGAAGAATATGAAAGGGTTTGAAGGCAGGCTGTTGCAATCAGGTGTGGGGCTCAGTCAGGCAATGTACTGAGCACTAGCCTGCTTACGTGTCACCAGCCCCATTATTCCCTCCTCCTCTCATTCTCCCTGGCTTGTTCCTCCAGGTTCAGCCTGCTCCTTCCCTTTCTCCACCTTTGACCCTTCCCTTTGACCCATAATAACTTTTACATAGTCCCACAAGCCCTCTCATATTTTATACCCCTCGTGTTAACCGTGTTTCCCCCACTTGATCAGTGACAAAGTTCAGGTTGATGTCATTCAAGGCTGTGCCTGGGCAGTTTATTAATGGCTCATCAGTCAGCTGAAAAGTTCTGGTCTTCCCTGCTGTCTCCACAACCGCTGCTTGTTTGTTTTGTATGTCCGCGTGTTAAATTTGTTACTTTCCTTGTTATTTGTTTTTTCTATTTCACTGAATGTTTCTTAACTAAATAACTTCATGAACCAGATGTTCTTTCATCTCCTTCTTTCTACAGATTCTTAACGACTGGGGATATTTTTTTTCCTTGGATCTGTGGTGATTTATTTTATGAAGTATTTTACATGTCATGTGCAAGAGTTATTGATATATGTTCTGAACATTTTGTTCCTGTTTGCAACTTCAGATTTGCAGATGCACTGGATCAGTTTATGAAATCGCAAACCATGGTTAATCATAAGATTGTACCCGGAGTGTTAACATGGCCCACAACATCTAAGGTCATTGAAGAGACACGGACAGGGAATTTACAGGTACGTTAATAAGTACTCTTCTGTCAAACAGAACCTTCCTGTGTGTGTTTTAAAACTTTAGTGCATTTCCCCAAGGTTGGTAGCGTGAATCCATGGGTCACCACCACCACTGAGACCAAAGAGGGTAAGGGAGGTGAAAAGAGGAGCGTTCAGGGTGGAACAGCCGCAAGTCGTGTTGCTCACTGCCTAGCACACTCTTAATTCTAAGGCCCATAGGGAGGAGCAGTTTTGGTTTAGTTCCTTTCCTTTTGTGTGTGTGTGTGTGTGTGTGTGTGATAGTAAATTGTATATAGAAAGGCAGTCTTGTGTGTGTGTGTGTGTGAGTGTGTGTGATACTAAATTGTATATAGAAAGGCAGTCCAGTAACAGTGCAGGGGAGTCTGTGTAAGGGTCTACATTTGGATATTTTTATGTAATAGCATGGTTCCAATCTGTTCTTACAAGTGATTTTTTATGGGTTAACTTCTTAGTTGCATGTCATCACATTTCAACTACATGTGAAGGGTATATGCAATGTAATGGTAGAAAAATTTGAATAATATTAGAATAAATGAGAATGTGAAGTTGAAAATAACAACAGGGATGATGTTAAAATCAAGCAGTATTATTATCTGTTTAGATCTTGGTAAATGCAGTGGGAATACTGGCACTGTACTCTTTTTTTAATAATCAAGTCATTGTTAGTTTGTGAAGTTCTGATAAAGTAATTCCATGAAAGACTAGTTATGCGAGCTACTCTCTCCTTGGAGCTGTTTTGGCACAGCAGAGCTTGCTAGGTTATTCAGTGTATGAAAGTGGCTCTGTCTTTAACTTACCTGACAGGAGTTGAACTTTCTTTTCCTTTTTTAAAAAATTTTTGGAATGGAAAGGCCAGCTTCTGTAACTTTCATTAGAAAAGACTTATTTTCTTGGTATTAGTTGTCTACTGATCAAAAAATGATGTGTGTCTTGCTCTAGAATTTCCTAAAAGTTTATAAATAGATGTTTGTTCCTTTCCCGTTTTGTGTGCAAGTTGTCTTATATCATTTTGTGTTTCGTAGTTGATGTTAAAGAATTATATTGAAGAATGCAAGTTTCCTCCAGAACCAGATGCAGTTTGCCGTTACCAGCAATGCTATGGCCACTCTAAAGTCCAAATATTTTTTACAGACCCTGACTTTAAGGTAAATTTTAGTTTAAAAGAGTTTCAGAAATAAAACTTACTGTTTGCGTATTTTATATGTGCTTTCTTAGAAGAGGGATATCTGGAAAATATAGTTCTGACGTATCTTGTCTTAAATTGTAAACTGTTTTCTGTTCCTTTTAAAGACACAGAATTCTTAATTTTAGGGCTTTATACGTATTGCTTGCTGTCAGCAATGTAAAGTGGAGTTTCATATCAGCTGCTGGAAAAAACTGAAAACTACAAAATTCAGTGATAGAAGCGATAAGGTAAGATATGTCTCGCCAGGGAGACATTTTATTCCTCCTGTTTCCGGTAAGGATTTTAGTTGTTTGTGATGAATCGAGAGCTACAGCTTGATGTTTTACCCATACTTGAATGGTTACTTTTTCTTTTGGTGGGAGGAGAGGCAGGGAAGTAGAGCTCTGCAAAGTTGTGTTAATATGAAAGTGTGGATAAAGCCTGCAGCTTTCTACAGAAGAAAGGCCTTTCTGTGAAGGCTAACCATGTTCAGCCTGTTCTTCTTGCATCATTTATTCTATACCATAAGGAAGTTTGATTTCTTTCATGTTCTTTCTGTTGAAGCAACAGTCTGATGTTCAGTGCACCTAAAAAGGCAGCTTTGACAGCCAGTGTTAATGACTTGCTTTTCTCATCCAGTGAGATTTGAGGCCCATACTAGTATTAAACACCTTGGTCACCTCAAATTACGTAACTGTGAGCTCTATAAGAACATAGAATTTGTAAGAGTTAAATATTATCTTTGTTGTAATTCATCTTTTTTCCTACAGGATTTTCTTCAAGAGTTATGTTTCACTCCTGATTGTACAGGCCTTATTTCAAAAATAGTTATTTTCAATTCTTCTGGTCTGATAAAATGTGAAGTAAGTAAATATTAATAAGAAATATGAATGTCATCTTTAAAATACTTACTCCATTGAAGTAGATGCATTCTAGTCTTGGCTTATACTACTAGGAGTTTGTAGTTAGCTATCTTCGTTACAGAATCTGAATATTATTTAGAAACTTTAACTGTTCTTTTAGCTTGGAGGAATACATGTTACCTTATAGTATTGGTAGCTCCTTTACGGTTACATAGGAGAGCTCTCATTGATGGGAACTGCAGCGTTATTTTATATTTAGTAGCATGATATAGACGGAACGTGTTTAAATTCAAGCAAATCACCCTTGCTAAATAGGTCCCTTAGGACAATGTTTTTACCCTCTGCAGAGTCAGTGGAAGATGGAATCAGTTGGATGAGCAGTTAGATTCGGTGAAACAAAAATCTGATTGCAAAGTTTGCTTCCTGCCCACTAGTAAAGCAAAGTGGCCTCCAAGTTGTTCTTCACCTTTATTGTACTCTTTCAACCTACCTTTTTGGAGGTAAAGATGAGTTGCTATAGTTGTGGTAGTGGAAGCTACTGTTAGGTAGCCTTCCTAAGGCTTTATTAGCCTACAAGGCTGTGTTATCTGTTTTGTACTGTTACTTTTATTTTTTTCCTAGGCATAAAATGAATATGTCAATCTTTCATTAAAAGAAAATACATATATATATATATATATATATATACACACTTAAAATTTAATTTAAATTTAATCAATATAATGTTACTTATGTTGACAGTTTGAACAAAAAATCTCAAGAACTAAGAAGCCTCCAAGGGCAAGTATTAAACAGAAATGTTCAAGGTAAGATCTCTACCACTTAATTTTAAGTTGAATAAAATGGAAAGCAAAGTTTTTCATTGGGATTGGATTACTTGCTTTTTTTAAGAATTGCTAAACTGCTACAAATGCTTTGGAAAGCTATTGTTGCCTTTTGGCTCTGAGATTGTTCTTGAATTAGTTGAAATAAAATACATTTTTGCTAGCCTTTGAATACAAATAGCCTCAGTCAAAAAAGTCAAATCCAATATTAATATATTGAGCAAAATATAACAGTGTAGACATTAAAAAACCTTTTCACAGCATTTCAGACACTTGATCCTAATTCGGAAATTATTAGTGGGAGTAAAAGTAATTGCAAGATTCTTGAAGCTATTCTTACACTAATGTACTTGATCTTTATGAAATTGTAATAAAATTGTGGTCTTTTAATAGCTTTAAAATGAAAACTAACTTTATTATATTTTATGGTGAATTGAAACTTATAGATACTGTAAGAAATAGAAAATAATCTGCTATGCCAGAGGAGTTCAGCGTGTTTCTTTTGGCTATCATTAGGCTCACTGCTTCATTGCTTTTATCAGTCTTAGGAAGCTGAAAATGAAACAAGAAAAAAAAATACGAAGAAAATGTGCACGAGAAGATGCACTGCATTCTGCTAAAAAGAAAATAGAAGCAAACCAAGTGGGAGTTGAGCCATCTCAATGCAATGGTCACAGTGGTATGTGAAAATACAGATTATTGCTAAGAGATATGGGGTAGCATAATTAGAGTTCTGAATGCCCTAAATCACTTTTAGTATTCTGTTAGAATGTGAATGTGATTCTCTCATAAAAGAGAGTTTAAAATAAATAAATAAATGAGCAAACAAGTATACTTGTATTTATTCTTAAAAGTAGAACTAGAATAAAAGTAAAATTAATTTTTAAAAATGTTGTTAGTGCAGGATCATTTTAAGTTCTTTAGGAAAGCTTCTATTCTTCTATTCTTGTTTCATTGATTCAGGAATAAGCACTGAGTCAGAGGTTCAAATTTTACCTTACCTGTTTAAAAGTGCTATTTAGATTAAGTTTTGTATTCTAAACATTAGGGAACGGGAAAAATAAAAACAGAGATCAGATAAAGGAAGGTCAGTTTCCTTACTGGAGAAAATAGGAGGTTTATTAGGAAATTAGGAAGTTTAAAAGTATGGGAAGTCAAGGGGACTTTAGCCCACGGTTCCTTAATGGGATGGGACTAAGATTTGCTTCTGCCTTGGCACTGGGTCACTGCAGGCCACACGCATAAATCTGCACAGACAATTACTTGAAGCTACTATTGCTGGCAGGTGATACCCTTCCAATATCAAGTTGAGGAAAGGAGCTAAGGGTGGTTTCTTGATCTAAAACACACGTAAAATTGACCAAACACAACTTTAAAATGGTGAGCGTATTTACTATAAATACTTGGTTAAATAACATAACCAGCTTTTGTGGTAAGTACAAAGAAAGTACAGCTTTGTCCAGGTGATCTGTACTTTGCCGCAATTAAAGAATTTCAACTTTAAAAAGACATGTAATCTTGTTTTTGTCCTCTTGCAGGTCATGCTCAGTCCATGTATGCTGGTGACAGGATCCTGCAGTGTATTATTCAGAATGCTGAGAAAATAAAAACAGCTGTTCTTGATGTTTCCAAACTATTAAAGGAATTGCTTTCATGGTGTGTTATCAGTGGGGAGGATTACATGTCATATTCCAAAATTACCAGCATGTCACGTGAAGTGATGGAGCAGCTCATCAGTTACTTAATTCAGGAAAAAAACAGAGTTAAAACAAGACTTTTTATTCATGTGCTAAGTGAACTGGAAGAAATAGATCCCAAATTACACAAGTGGATGAAACATCTTAACAATTTGGGTAGGTCATACGTTCAAGTGACAACAGAAGAACTTGACGCATCATAGTCATTCATTTATGAAGGAAAAGATAACCTCCCTGTCCTGCAGCCTTGCTTCTTAGCTTGAGATCCTAAAACAAAGCTATCTTTGTTTTATTTGCTTGATTTTTATTTTATTTATTTATTTTTAACTTTTTGTCATGTAAATTTAGTTGTCTGTAAAAGTAATTCAACTTGATGTTTTCTGCAGTGTTGGCTTGCTGTTTGCTATTGAATTTATATTTGAATGAAGATGTGAGCTTTCTTATAGGTAAAATAGGGATCAAAGATGCCAAAAGTTTGGACAAGGTTTTGTTTGTTGTTTTTTTTTGTTTTGAATTCTATTATGTTGCTTCCATGTCCCTAAGGAATTTATATATTTCTTAAACTGATTGTTCAATAAAAGTAAACCCATTGATAACTTATGGTGGATTTTTTTGAAGATAGAATAGATATTCTGTTTTAGTTATATTTAGTGTTTGGAAAAAAATGTTTCTTTTTGAAGAAGAAAATCACTTAAAAAAAAAAAAAGCACTAAATATGTTCTGTGAAGTAAATGAAATGTTGGCTTTTTTGTTTTCTCTTTTAGGCCTGAAAGCTACAAAGACCTTTCTCCTTCAGTATGGGCATTTTTTAAAAGAGCTTGATCTTAGTATTTTAACCACACTCTGGAATGAAAAGTATGGTAATAAACTGGACTATGTGATGACGAGCTTTGAAGACAAAGAAATCCTTGATTATTTCTTACAAGCGCCTTTAGAAAAAGCCCGTTGTTTTATATGGCTTTTAGAAGATAACAGAGAAAAATATCCATTTCTTCATGAAGCTTTAGATGAATTCTTTGATAAAATGGGTAAATATGTAAAGCTCTTCATTCCTAAAAGTACTGTACCACCCTTCGCTTGATGAAATGATGAAACTCAGCCAATCACTAATCACCTCATCCATACAATCTTCTCTGTTCCATGCTTAAAATACAGTATAGTCCAAAAAAAACAAGCTGTCCTTGTAAAGGCTGCATTTTGCTGCTTGTCTCCCAAGTGTGTCTGAGATTGGTGCCCAAACTTACCTTTATGCAGTCTAGCCAAAATAACTCCAATCAAAATAACTACTCTCTAAGTCTTAAGGTTCTCATGTTTGATGAAGGAAGATTATAATGCTTATTAATAGATCCATAGCCCAATATTATAAGTTACATGAAAAAGCACCGTTTCTGTTTTAAAAAGTGACTTTAATTGTTATCCTTTCAATAGGTGACCCTACCATTATATTAAAGAAGCAGGAAAACGAAGATATGTCAGTAAGTTAACTTAATGTCCATTTTGGTATAAGTTCAAAAAAAAAGTGTTCGCATGTCATAAAAGTGCACAAAAGCAAATCAGCAGAAACATGTATTATTTTGTATCATCTTCAGATGTTATAGAAATTTGTAGCTTATTATTTTGGGACCACCTTCCCCCATCTCTTAAAGTATTTGAAGACTGCATTCCTATTTCCCTAAACTTTTGCCTGTAAAATATCTGTTTAGAGTTTTCTCTAAAGAGAAGCAACGGGATACATTTTAGCTTGAGGATCTGAAAGAAGAAGATTAGAGGGAGTTGCAGTGGAAGTGGAGAGGGATGCTGTGTTGTGCTGCATCTGTTCTTTCAGATGGGGCAAATAGGGCAGTGTGGTGCATGGGGGTAGCATTTACATGGTGCTTGAAAACAGCAGTTTGATGTTAAATGTAAAAAGTGCTTAATGTTAAATGCTGCTCTGGGGGGGACCAGACTTTTGCTTGTTGCCGTATCTGCCTATTCACCGTAATATTGGAATTGAATTGGAAATGAAGCTGAATTCTTTCCTGAATATACTTAATTTGTGTTGTTGCTAGCCGTACTGTGTGTTTCACAGTGCAAAACAACATGTGAGGATTCTTCCCAAGCCAATTTACTTACAGATGTCATTGGAGTGTAGGGTTAGGAATTAGTAATTTGTTCTACTAATAACCAAAGTAAATTTGAAGTGATTGAGACAAGCATTTTGCCTTCTCACTACAATCTTTGTAGATGTTTTTCAGATTAAAGCCGTAACTTTTAAAAACTACATCACTCTGAATCACTTCTTGGTCTTAAGCGTTAATAGGGTAGGGTGTTTTTTTAGCTGACAGAAATGCATAATGAGATCTTGGTTAATCTTGTGTTTGAAGCACTTTCCTTGAAAATTACAAAATTACTCTTGCTTCCAGATCAACTGATCCGTACAAAAACAAGATTTACTTCTGATTTACTTCTGATATACAGAATAGATGTTTAGAGTTAATTAGCTAATAGAGATCTCAAGAGAATGTGAAATCCTTTGCTGCTCTTGAGTTTCATGACCAAGAGAATGAAACTAAAGCCGTCAGAAACTATCTCTAAAATAAATTCATGATTAATGATGCTTTTGGTAGATAGGATACTATAATCAGCCCTTTTAAAAGGCAAAGATTTTTTAGTTCCTTCATTGCTTATCTTCCTACAAATTTGGACAAAACTTTCATTAAGTTCTGTTTGTGTCTTATTTCCTACATGAAACTGTGCTATGTGATGTTACAGCTGCCTAATTATGGAATGACAGATACAATTTTTGCTTCATATAAAGACTAAGCAGCAGAAATATAACAATAACTGAATATCTTGTTTTTTAAATGTGCTACATGTTTAAGGAGGAGAATGATGAAAACCAGAACACATAAGATTTTGCAAACTCTGTTCCTGTTTGTGTATTCTCACTGGGGCAGGTGGGGGAAATGTATGTCTAAGCCTGTAAATTGTGCTCTTATTTTATTTTATTTTTTTCCCGCACAAGAGTCAAAAATTTCAAGTTATAATTTGAAAATTTTAAATTACACACTGGTTTGGAAAACATAATTTTATTCTGATCATGAAACTATTAACTTGTTTTTTTTCTGTTTCAGACTAATGGTATCAAAGTTAAAAACAAAAACAGAAAAAAAAAAACAAAAGACTTACGGGTCAGTAATATTTTTAGCTGCTTGTTATAAATAGATTATTTACTGGAACTGCATATGTATAGGGGCTGTGTTGGTAAATAACTTGTGCAGACTCAGTTTTGAGATAGTTTTCTCCGAAATAGAAAATACACTAAAGAGCTAGTTAGTACAATATTAATTGTTTTGTTACAGTAGGAACTTGTCCCTATAAAAGAGGTTTTCCATTTTTAAAAAAAGTTGTTTATAAGTAGTGCTAGCTTTGATCCTGTACAAATACCCTCAGTCTTTGCACCAAAAAAGAAAGTTTTCATACTAAACCCCTGTTTTAGTCTTCATTTCCGATGTGGCGGGGGAAAAGAGACAAACCTCCTGTGCATACTGTATACCGTAGAGCATGAGAAGAAGAATCAGAACTACTGTAGTTACCTGTATGCTACACGAAGTAATTAATATTTTATGCTCCTGTTTTGCAATGAAAAGTAATAATTTTGGAAATGGACTCTCTCGAGTCATCTTGAGAAAGCAAAATATGTCCTTGTACCTCTGATAAAATACATTTGAAGTTGTATTTTCAGCTGTCTTTTCTGGCAGTTTCTAAGGGGTATGCCAGTGACTGAAGAAGCAGAGAATATTCCAGTTAATGCTCAGAAAAATATTATTTCAGTAAATGTTCAGTACTTTGTAGATGTTAGAAGGAATAATATCCTAGTTGGCATGTTTGCTGTCTTTTGCCCTGCTTCTGGGGGAACTTGCTTTACTGAAAGCATCAAATACAATCTTTCTGATTGTCCCTCCATGTTTCCAACCTGTTTTTTTTTTCTTTTTTTTTTAACAGAATTTCAAAAGTTAAGATCTTTACTGTTGTCATTAGTGGGGGGCAGTTCTATTCCTGTCTGAGATGCGCATATACGAGGCTATGTTTTTCTAAAGTTACTGGATAAATAAATAACATGCTTATTATGGTAAACATAAGAATAAGAGACATATCTCATCTGGTATGAAGGTAACTGAGAACTTGCAGTAAAGTTACTGAAGTTTGATGGGTTCTTAAGTGTAGAGACTGTTGATACGTAGCCTACTGGAAAGAACTCAAACAAAGGTGTTAGCAACAACGAAGCCATAGGGTGTTTAGATGTGTTGTTGTTGTTATTATTATTATTATTATTATTATTTTAATCTGAACTTGGTGAAAAATCATGTGCATTTAGGATTTAGATTAAATCAGTGAAAAGGACAAGCTAGGCTGAATATCCCAATTGCTCCATCCTGACCAAGTTCTGAAGAAGAAATTGGTAATTTAATTATGAAAAACTTTTTGGGGAAGTGTGCAGGATGGGTAGTTACAGTTACCTGGTAGAGATTTGTAGTTCCTTTTCTGGAATCTGAACATAGTGGAGTTACAGGAAAACATTCTGGGTCAATAAGTTGCTCAAACCGTTTAGATCAGATCATCTTATACAAACTACTGTGAGCTTAAAAAATAATAATCTGTTCTTAATTAGTCTGTTTTAGTGTTGTCCAGTGGAGTTAGTACAGCACCACTAGAAGAAGAAAATATATTTATAGAAGAAAATACTTTGTAAGTACCATTGTGCAATTTTGCTTCATTGCCCAAACTCTGATGTGCTTTGCAGGTAACAGAGAAGATAGAAACTTAGAAACACCAAGTCTGGGTTTGTTATTAAGTTGTTGTTGTTGTTGTTGTTGTTGTTTTTATATATATGTGTGTGTGTGTATATATATATATACATATATATATGTACTTGGTATAAGCTTGCATAGAGCCAGGATGGGTGTAGGGTTTTTTTTTTTTTTTTTTTGTAATTAACTTTATAAAAAGGCTATAAGAGGCAAGTGCAGGGTGACCTGGTTGCAGCCCAGTGCATTTTCTAGGCTAAAAACTGTTATTTCAATTAAGATCTTCCTTTCCTCCTACTCCATTTTAATGTAAGAAGAAATTGGTTGACAAATTTATATGGATTCTTTCAGTCACAACTGATCTTTGCCATCCCAACTAATTCAAGTGGGTGTGATGCTGATTCGGGATTTTCTGCAGCCCGTGGCTCAGTGTGTTTGACTCCAAATTTGTCAGAAGTTGAACTCTTGTTTTCTCTAATAAGTGGGAAGACAGGCTTAGATGTGGGGGGAAAAAAGCTAGGCAGGATGAAGCCTTGTTACTGTAGTTGGTAGCAGGTCTTATCCTAATAAATTTAGTGGTCAAGTGTTTTGGGGGATAATATTTGTTCTGGTTGATAGCAAACAATTTGGTGTTGGGGTGTTTTTATAGGACTATGTAGTTACCATGAATTGTTTTCAGTATTTTTCAAAAATATAATTACTTTCTCAGGGGAGGGAAAAAAAATGCTGTTCATATGTGCTTTTTTACTGTTACAGAGATTTTATGAATCTTTATGAACCATTTGTAATCCCAGACTATCTTCAAATGGAGGATTTTGAAGCTCTCTGTGAAGTTTCAAATAGTAACAGTTACCAAAGTCTTTTGGATAATAACTTGGATCCAACCTGTGAGAGTTTATATGAGTATGTATACTTTTCTGTGTTCAGTTGTTTTAATGATTTAATTTTCTAGCTTGTATGCATGCAAATTCTGTACTTTTGCATTAGAGAATTGGTGTAGGAAAACTAAGGCCTTGAGCTTACATTTGTGAATGTGCATATAAGTAACTAAGAAAAACAGACAAAAAAAAAAAAGTGGAGTGTTGCCCTGAATTTGTAAGCAGGATGGTGCTTTTGACATCTGAAAATGAAATTGCCTTTTTTATTTTACTGGTGGTTGTAATAGTTGCTCTTAGTCAAGTTAAAATTAAGGCATGTAAGGTAGTACATACTAAAGACAAATTTTATTAACGGTTGTATTTGCTATGCATCTGTGTGTATTAGCAACTTACAGATCAGCAGCTTTACATTGGAGGCTACTGAACAACTTTGTAATGACCATACTTCTCGCTTCTGTTTCACTGAGTTATCCTGTGTTGGTACTTTGATTTGATTAAATGAGGTTTGACGAACAACTTTGTTTTCTTTTCAAAGCTACTTCTCTCAAATCTTGGAAGCGCATGGCCCCATGGAAATTAATGATAAGTTATTAGTTGGAGAATATGAACATTTCCCTGAAGAAGCTCGAAAAATTGTTGAAGATGCAGGTGGTCTGCAGTCTTTTCTTCTGGACTCTCTTCGCTTCGTTATGGTGGATAATGTGGTTGGCTTAGTGAGGCATGCACCTCTTATTAAAGAACTTACAAATCTGAACGAGACAGGAGATAATGAAGAGGGAAATTATATGTGCTGTGATACTCAAGGACATTCACCTTGGAACAAAGTACAGTTAAATCCAACTGCTAAGGAATTCAAACCACTATCTTATACTAAACAACCTCATATTTCATCCTCTACTGACAGATCAGACACAAGCTATGAGATTCCAGAAAATTTGGCTTATTCATTACCTGTTTCATACGGATCAATGCATTTTTTGCATAGTCAGAATATGAATACCATGGAAAATGAGTCTTCCTTTTCATATGCTGCAAATACCGTAGAAAATGAGTCTTCCTTTTCTGAAGTTTTACTGGACTGCCTTGATACTAAAAATCTTGATGCATCTTTGCCTCAGACTTCCCTAGGTTATCAATATGAAGGAGTTTTGCCAGCACCTTTTCAAATGCCTCTTGTTTCAAATTTTGCCAAGCAACCTTATATTCATGCTGATCACGTAGCTCATCAGGATAATAGTGAATCAACAGTTACAGATGAAAATGTCTCTCATATTTTTATGCCAACTGAAATGCAAACATACAAAGACCCCCAGTGCCTGCTTGAGAACTCGGACAACGCAGTTTCTGAAGACAACTTTGCTGCTGCAAATAATACGAATGAAACTGAGCGTGACAAACCAGCTATTAAAGTGGAGAAAGAAAGGAAAGGGAAACCTCTAATGAAAAACAATCCTCATACGAAGGTGGCAGCTTTACAGGTAAGAAATGAAGATGAAAAAAGTATTTGTAGTGTGCTTTAATAATTAATGAAAACTTTCAGCATCTTTCCCTGCATTTCTGTTGAAAAAGCAACTCATTTTTGAGTTATCTCTTTACGAGAGAGTCATGGTCAAAAAGACCGTGACACAGTTTGGAAAGCACTAAGATGTGTTTTACTAGATAGAGAACAGCTCGAGAGCTTCCAGTCTGAGTTGCTAACAGCTTTTACAACTACTGCCCTTTTTTATTTGCAATTCTTTAAAGAGGCAGTCACTGAATTTTGTCATACCTGAAACTTTCAGAGATCTTTGATCCAGAATGAGAGGGACCTGGTCCACATCAGTTTAGATTTAGTTTGGGAAAGCAGAGCTTAAAAGTCACTGCACAACAGTGTGTGGTAGAGCAAGTCATTCAACATTTGACTCGCAATAGCTCATTAGATAACAGAGTGAACTGGGTGTTACCAGGTCACACAGTGCGTTGCATGATTAGACCGCTGACGCTCAGCTCCTGCAGGAGGCCTGTGTGAGGTGGCACTAGAGGAAAGCAAGCAGGGCGCTGGAGACCCTGGTCTGGTCCCTGCTGAGCAGAGGTGCTTGTGCAGCAGATGTTGAGTTTCGGAGGCCCCACAGAACGCGTCCTCTGTGAGCTGGGCGACCTGTCAGATTGTCAGACAAAAAGATTGGGGAGGAGGAAGTGCTTTCATTAGAGACTGAAGCACTTATTGCAAACAAATGCTTAATTTCTTTTTACATTATAGATGGATATACTTCAAAATGGTGAATTTGTAAGACTTCAATTAGGTCTTCTTGGCTCTCCAGAGCAGAAAAACGGTCCTGCTAGTTGTACACATGGACAGGAGCACTTTTTAATTAAGGATACTTTGTATTCCAGGTAACTCGTGAAGTTGCTGACAGGGAAACTAATACCTTGCCATTTCATCCATTTGAAGTGCAACAGGTAAGTAACCTATGTATGTGTTTACATTTTTCATGAAGGGATGTTAAAGGAATCTCCTGTAGCACAAAAGTAGTTTTCTGTAAATAAGATGTTTTAACAGCTATTGGAGGGAAAAAGTATTTAGCCCTTCGTGTTGAGATATATTCCTTGCTGCCTTTCTTATAAACTTCAGGTAGGTCCATAAAGAAGGTGGGTTTGGAAGTTTTGGGCTTGTTTGTTTTGTGTGGTTTTTTTTTTTTTTTTGTAGATATTTAGATGTTAGAGTATGGTACATGGGTATTTTGGTACTTCTTGTCAAAAATCCTGAGTTTGGTTGAATTTCCACTTGGCATAGAGACTTCAGGCTCTATCAGCAGATGAGCAAGGATACGGCCTTCAAACTCTTCATAATCCATTAATTTCAGATAGGAATGTTAATTTGCTGAAACTATTCCAACTGTTACACAACTTCCTCTGAAAAAATCTACAGACTTTTGAATCTCAGCTGGAAGTAGACTGATCATTTCAGACTTGTCCTGAATGTTTGCTGCCCTGGGGGTAATGACTATTGGATTATCTTTTCTAATTTATTTTCAGGGGGATATGCTGCGTATGGAAAAAGAGCACCAGGTATTAAAAGAACAGCTTAAAGAAGCACAGGAAAAATATGAACAGTTACAAAGTCGAAGCTCAGAGGAAATCGGTGCTTTAAAAGAACTTGTGAAAAAAAGCACGGAAGAAATAGAGGTACCTTTTTTATCCATGCAATGGTTTGGTTAGTAAAGACAGACTGCTAAGTTTTATATTGCATGTGATCAATTAATTGTCTTTTGGAGACGTATATGGTAGAGCTCACCACCATGAAGCCAGCTCAGCAGCCCCGAAGTTCTGCCTGCCTGCCATCGTGGGCACACACACACGGGGACTGGTTGCCTCCGTCCTTGGGTAGGTGTTGGCTTTGGCTGAATCCAAGGAATGGAGAGCACTATGCTGTTGAGCCTCCCCACTCCTTGAGGAGAAGGAAGTCCCAAGTAGAGGGTGTTAGACAATGTGTTGGGTAAATCCATGCACTGCCCCTTGGAAGCTCCCAAACTCTTCCTTTAACGCTGGGTGAGAAGAGCCTGACAGACTTTCATGTAGGGGAGAATGGAGTCTCATGTCCATGTTTCCCTATGGGTATTCACTAGAAATGGAAGCTCAGGCGATTTGAGCAAGCCAGGACAGGTGAACTTGCCCAAGGGTGATGCAGGTGCCTGTGACGCCTGTTTCCATATTGACGTGGTGATTTTTAAGTGGTTGTGACAGCTGTAGGGATTCACTGCACACTCATGTGCAGGACTTGAGTGTGCACATGTACACAGTGCTCTGGAACCAGCCTTCTTGTTTCAGCCCCCTGCCTCAGAGGGTGTTACGTGTTCTGAAGCTGCCACGTGAGTGAGGGCTGCAGTGAGCCCTGCTGAGCACTGGGTGCAAGCTAAGCAGCAGCACCGCTCTGCTGCTGCAGACCTCCCTGGCCACGGTGGTGCTCATATGGAAAAGCAATCTATTCTAACCTGCACTTCAGTAAAATAGTTTCTCAGAAATAATGTTTGCTTTTTTTCTGCTTTTAGATATCAAGGAGTGAACTGGAGTGGCTTGATCAAGATTTAGAAAAAAAGAAGAAAAAATGGCAGCAGGAGAAGAAAGAAAATCAAGAGAACTTAAAAGCAATAAGGCACACAGTCAAAAAGCACACTGATTCCAATGAAACGTAGGTGTTAATTTTGAATACAGATCTACAATACTGTCCCTTTGCTTGATTTTGTTCTTCAAGCAGTAGTAAATAATGTTATGTCCAACAGACTTACAAGTTTCAGTCTTATGTACTGACTGTGTAGATTACACCTAAATAATACTTTTTTTTCTGTAAAAACATAGAAAAAGGCATTGAGTAGCTGAGAGAAGTATGCACAACAAAAACTCAAAGTTGTGACCCTAATTAGAGCATCCTGAAAATGCGTTAAATGCAGTTCTTGGATTAGTGCTTAGTTAGGAGTTCATATATATATATCTATATACGTTTACAGTGTACTTATACATCTGATTTATAAGCTGTTCAGATTCACTGCATAACTGTCACTGTGGTTGTAGAGGAATGTGAAACCTATTTGCCAGTGAAGAACAGTTTTTCAGAATGTGTTTAATAAATGTTTCATTACGGCAGGTATTCTAAAAACATTGATGAGAAGGAAAAGCAGTATAAGCTGTACTTCAGTACATACCTTGAGACCAGGTAAAATTACCTTTCAGTAATATTTACACTTTTCTACTGACTTGTCCTTATTAGAGTTGTCTGTTTCACTCTGAGTGAATGCATAGAAGAAATAAGCACTTCAAAAAGTAAACTAACAAAATAAGCGATATGGGTTACTTAACATCGGTAAATGTTATTTACTTTTAGGTAGATATTTAGAATACAAAAAAAGGCTTTTCAGAAAACAAACTCTCAAGTATTTCCGCTGATATATGATATTTTTCTATATTTTAGAGCACATTAGAAGTTGTGTGCGATACAGACATACTGGTGTTGAATGCAGTTAGGTTCTTTGCACATCTGTAGTTCTAATTTTACAAAAATGTATCTAAACACTTTTATTTATTTGCATGTATTGTACAGCCAAGGAGCCATTTACAAATGCATCTTTTATATCTGTTATGTTGGGCTCAGAACAATAACAGTTTTGTATTCAAAGTCCTCTGAGATTCTTACCTTGTCCAGTAAAATGTCATGACGAAATCCCAAGGTGCTGCCCGCAGAGAGGCTGTCCAAGCGCAGTGCTCCAGCCCCAGGCTGGACAGTATTAGTGCAGGTGCACAGAACTGCCATCATCTTGAATCATTACTCAGATGTAAATGTTAACCAAATAATTACACCTTTTTTTTTTTTTTATTTCACAGTAATAAATTTGCTAATGAGAAAGTAAAACTGGAAGAACTTATAAAAAAGAGCCAGGCTGACTGCCAAGAGTGGGTGAAGAGAGCTGTATCAGCAGAGGTACAAACAAACAAAACTAAAACACTTTTGCTAGAACCTCGGTCATTTGCACTGCCAGGAGGTGGGGGAGATGCCTGGAGAAGTCTTGATGAAAAGTTTTAATGAAGACTTTTTGCTTTTAAGTAGCTTCTAGGGCTCTTTAGCAGTATACATCAAAAGTGATAAATATTGAGAACTGCTGTTTGTGAAATTGCCTTGCAGAACTTTTCAGCTCATCAAGGCACTTTATTTTGGCTTAATACTAAAAGTGCATAGACAGAATGCTTGGGGCATCTAGTATTGCCCCAGATAAAATGCAGTGAGTGATCTACAGTTTAATACTTCTCCCCATTACATATATGAATAGATGCCTTAACCTAAGGAAGATAAGAATTCCTTATTAGAAGTCACTCATAAGTGAATATACAGTTACCTCTGTAGCTCATAGAATCAGAATTCAACAATTCACTTGAGTATTTCACTGCAAGGAAGGGAGTGCTGACAGATATCAAGATCTCTGCTAACCAATGTACTTTATACTGGAAATGTGTTGAATGACTATGTTGAACGAGGGTTTTCTTTTACAAAAGGTTTGACTGCTGCTCTATGTGTACCAGGCAGATGCCTCCTGCCTGTAGCCCTTGTCCTGCTCCAGGGCTTGTGGTGCCTGTAACTGCACTTGGCCTTCCCCGCTCTGGGAGCCCTGGGGGCCTGGATGGATTTCACATTGTGTATTGGCAAACTAGTGTTGGAGATCCTTAGTGAAACCCAGCTTGAGCTTTTAGTTCTTGTGCTAAGGAACTGCTTTTACTGTGTTCAAAATGAATAAGCAAACAAAACCATTTTTCTTTTCAGGTATCAGTACTCAAAAACTGGAAGGAAACTGAAGTCTGCAGGCTCCACAGCATAGCTGCCAACGGAGAAGCAACTCTCAGGGTGCTAAAGTCAGGGGGCAGGTATGGACAGTTTACATCAGGAATTTCAGTAGTGCTACTTATGAAGAAGAAACTACTGCATGATTAGTTTTTTTTTTGTGCTGTATTTAAATATAACCTTTTTTATCATGTCATAATTTACCACGATGTGAGGTATTTAAAAAGTCCTCTTCATATTTTGATTGCCCCAGCATACTAATTTCTGTTTGAGGAGTCCACTTCTAAGACTGGATAGGATCTAGGTGCCAGTAGTTTAAATTCCCAGCCCTTAACTTGGATTTAGCTGGGGGGCGGGGAGAGGTGCTATCCTAAGACACTAGTTTAAAATGGAGTGGGAATGTTGGAGTTTCAACTGCAAACCTTTGTATTTCAGCAGTTCAGCATCAGCATTACCTCAGCTGAAGTCACAGATTGATTCTTGGGAAACATTTATTTCGAGTATTAAGAAACAAATGGAAGAAGTAGAGGTAAGTCTTGATTTCTCTTACCAAACCAATTTGGAAATTAGGGAAGAACAAGTATCTTTTAAATAATTCTGTATTTCTCTTTTTTATTTACTGCTTTCAAAGCTTCAGTAGCTTGTCCTCCAAGTATTGAACAGCAGTTTTTTGATGTTAAAAGAAAGCACCAATAAGTGCAACAATAAGTGCAGTTCTTGTTTTCTCTCTGCAGGCTCAGTATGAAGAAAAAATTCAAATGGTGAAAAATGGTGCAAAAAACTGCCTCACTAAGATGCAAGCCTACGATCTTTCATCTCCTCCCAGTGTCTTGGTATGTACTTTATATTTCAAAGCCATGTGCTCCAAGGCTATTAGGAAGTTAAGCTTGGCTGTCTTCTATAAGCAATGTACCTTAGAATTAGAATTTGCAGTTGTGAGCACAAAATCACCTGGCTCTGCATATCTCCAGCTACCAACCTAAAGGAAAATGCGTCAGCAGATTAGCAGGATGAAGCTCAGTGAGAAACAAATCCCCAAGCCCTTTTAGGGGCATAAGTTGCTTATGGTTAAATTCAGAATCCTTCATATTCAGTCTGAATGAGTACTAATATTTTTGGATATCGTGATTTTCTTGTAGCACTAAAATCCTTTGAGACAAGGCCCCATTATGCCAACACGTGTAACTGATTGTGGATGCCAAAATTAACTTCCCGTTGCATCTGTTGTGAGCTAGATGGAATACAGCCATTTATGGGAATTAATCTCTAGCGGCTACATCCCAGATAAACACTATTAAAAGCACTTTGCTTTGCCCAAGTCGTGTTGGTTGCCTCCGGTCCCTGGGCAGGCAGGAAGCGGGTCTGGGTCCACACTTGCAGTGCCGCCCGTCACCAACGGTGACGTCGGAGCTCCTCTTGCTCCCGAATCCCTTCCCCTCGCCGCCTCTTCCCAGGTGTCTTTCCCCGTGCGGTGCAGGATTCTCAAGAGCCTTCTGAGGAGAATGTGCAGCTGCTCTCAGTGGTCATCCTCAGGTTACCGTCCGTTTGCAGGTTGAGGAGGAGAGGGAAATGTGATCCCCGTGTTCTGCGCTCAGCATCCTACTACAGAGATACAAAGTTAACTTCTTAGATACTTCTATAATTCTTTCAGCTTCAAAACTTTAGTATGTAAATACTGAATCCAAATGAAAAATCATTAGTGATGAAAAATCCTTTCTTTCTTGACTGCTTAATTCTACCTTTGAAGCTTAGCACTTTTCTATATGCAAGAAGTATAATCTGATACAGCTTAAAAAGCTTAGGGATCATCAAAAATAAACTTAAGGCTATGTATTAAGTAATATGGAAACTTATAAAAACGAATCTCAGTTTTAGCAAACTGAAACTGCTTTACTATGTCATGTTTCAGTTCATCCTTTATATATTTGGTTTGGTAAAACTCAATTGATTACTTATAAATATAAAACAAATTGGTATTCTCAAGCAAATATTGGATTTTCTAATTTTTTCTTAGATTAATACCTTATTCCAAAAGTTACTGTATTTCTTTGCCTTCTCCAAAGGAGACAAATCTTTGTTTTAGGGGAAGATTCTGGGTATAGTGCTTTATAGAGAAGGTAAAATACAAATTGGTATTCTCAAGCAAATATTGGTAGAGAAGGTAAAATATCACTTCACTTCAGGAAGGTGTTAAACCACAGAACACACAACAAGAACATGCGGTTATAATTCAAACATGAGTAAGTATAGAATTTTAGTTCTGTAGGTTGGAAAAAAACGTTTTTAAAGCAGTCAAGGTCTGGAACAAATAGCAGTAATGCTGTCAAACAACCAAACTCATTTTAAGGAGTTCTTTCCATTTATGGAAGAGACTTGCTAGGATAAAAAAGAAAAAAGAAAAAAAAAAAAGGAAGAAAAAAAGTCTTCCTGGATCGAGTCAGCTCCAAGTTTTCCAACACTGACTATAGCTGACATAGTTTGTTTGAAAAAACACTGCATTGTGTGGATTGCTTCATCAATTGAAAGGAGTGGGGTGGTTTGTTTGTTTTTTAATTTCCAAATTGATGGCATTTATTAAAGCAGCACTTTCTGCTGCCGGCCTCAACCTGTACTTCAAACTCGTAGCTGTCCCCAGCCCTGATTCTTTAGCAAGCAGATGGGCCAAGGCAGCCGTGTGAGCGCGTATCTGCTGCCGGGCAGTTTGTCCCTGTGCTGCAAACCAAGGAGCTCTGGGAAATACGCTTGTGCTCAGCAAGGAAAGCAAGTGGGGATAAACTTCTGTTTCCCTGGTGTGACCAAGCACACACCGTTCCCGCTGTAGCTGCTAGGAGTTCTGCTGCTTTGATTGCTGATTTGGGGGGATTTGCTTTTACTCCCCAGGGGAAGCAGAGCCGCCCTCCCCTCAGCCACC